GTGGAGTATCCAGGTGGGGCTTAGAGCTATTCTGCAGCGGCCTTGTTCCATCACAAAGGAGGATTTCTCTGGACCAGTAGTTCTCAACTGCAGCTCTACTGTCCTTCGGATTGGGCAATTCTTTGTAATAGGGTGCTGGTCTATGCACAGCCAATGGTTAGCAATATTCCTGGCCTCTAGCCACTGGGAACAAATAGCACCTGCCCAGATATGGCAGTTAAAAATGTTGGGGCGCCTGGATGGCTCAGTCGGTTAAGCATCGGACTTCGGCTCAGGTCACGATCTCATGGTTCGTGGGTTTGAGCCCCGTGTCCAGCTCTGTGCTGGCAGTGTGGAGCCTTCTTGGGATTCTCTCTCTCTCCCTCTGGCCCTCTACTACCCTCCCACTTTTTCTCTCTCTCTCAAAATAAATAAATAAATTTAAAAAATTGTCCCCAGATGTTGCCAAATATCCTCTTGAAGGTATAATTGCTCCCCATATAGAACCACTGCTCTGAACTCCTGCCTTGTTACCGGTCTTTCTTCTGAGAATCCAGGAAGTCCATGGTTCTCCATGGAAGTCTGTGAATGGGTGTGAATTCCCCTTGTGTTTGATAATCCTTCAATCCCTTGAGTTCTATACTCTCATACTAGGTCACATTCAGATGTTAGAGGCTTGTTAGCAATTTATAGCCAAATTTTTACCGGCTTCTGTGGGGGCTTGCGTATGCCTCAGTAAGCACGTACCTGAATCCTATTACTCCTTCGGAGCACCTGCCTTTCCCTAGATTTTGGGTTAGTAGAATATGCCATGACTTCAGCTGTCATGGGTTAAACAAAAGTTGTGAATTTGTAGATATTCAGGAGATACCTTGCTTTATGTTTGAGAACAACATCTTTCCAGCTTTCTGTACTCTTAGCGGAAGCTAGAAGTCTGCCATGCAAAGTGTTTAAATGTTCTCAGTCATGCAGAGTAATTAGAGACTTTCTGAGGTTAAGCACCTTCCTCATGTGCAAGAAATCTGAATGCCTTTCGAGCTGGAGACACAAGTAGGTTCCACACTGTTATGCTGACTATTTAAAGCAATAGTGTGTTTTAGGTTTAGTTACAAAGAAATATTTCTTTATAAGGAAAACAGCAGGACAAGCAGAATGATAGGTAGGTACTTTGTCTCTTAATGCCTTAACACTGGCAGAATTTATTTGACACAGACTTTTTTTTTAAATTTTTTTAATTTCTAGGAGAGAGAGAGAGAGTGTGAGCAGGGGAGGGTCAGAGAGAGAGGGAGTCACAGACTGAAACAGGCTCCAGGCTCTGAGCTGGCAGTCAGCACAGAGCCCGACGCGGGGCTTTAACCCATGAACCGCGAGATCATGACCTAAGCTAAAGTCGGACGCTTAACCGACTAAGCCACCCAGGCGCCCCTGACACAGACTTTTAAAATAATTTTTTAATGTTTATTAATTTTTTAGACAGAGAGAGAGACAGAGACAGAGACAGAGTATGAGCCGGGGAGGGACAGAGAGAGAGGGAGACACAGAGTCTGAAGCAGGCTCCAAGCTCTGAGCTATCAGCACAGAGCCTGACACGGGGCTTGAACTCACGGACTGTGAGATCATGACCTGGATCAAAGTCAAGGGCTTAACTGACTGAGCCACCCAGGCGCCCGTATAAACATGCCTATTATCTTAAAGCCACCCATTCAAGTTACCTTTCTGTCCCATCCCAGAGATCATTTTATCCGACATTAAATATTTACAAGCACCCACTACCCGCCAGGCTCTGTTCTAGGTTCTGAGGCTGTAACAATGAATTAAACTAGCTCTGCCCTTACAGAACTTACTTTGGGTCTGTGGTTTGCAATGGGGAGAGTGTGAAGTGTAGACCAGGAAAGCACTCTCCCTAGAGAGCACGGTTCTACCGCTCACTGTGCAAGGTGACCCCCGCTTGCCAAATTTTTTAATTTTTCAAGAGAAGCCAGGAGTCAGAATTTTACGGCAATCTTCCTATTTTTAAATAGAGGCTCAATATGTTTTCAATCACCGTGGAGGTCAAACAAAACATGTTTGCAGACAGAATCTGGCTTGCGACCTCTGTCTAACACCGTCTTTGCCCTTGCTGGTCTGCTTGAGAAGAAAAATGCAGTGGAATGACAGCTGTAGCCATGTTAATTCCCTTCTCTGGAAGCAATGAACCAGTTGTCAGAGATTTGGCAATTCCAGGATTTAATTTGCAATACAAGGTCAACAATTTCAGGGAGAGCCATTTTAAAATCAGCCTTTAAACAAACAATCCAAGAAAACAAGGTGACTATGCAAATTAGCAGGTGGATATTAACCTAGGCTCAACAGAACATGGCCAACAAATCAATTGGAAGCAGGTGAGAGAGCAGTTAGAAACCTGCTTCCAAGTTTGAGGCTGGCTTTTAAAAACGATTGCTATGGTAGTTGCCTTGCATTTCAACTGACGTGCTATACACCGCGGTCCAAATTTGTAGTTGTCATGGGAAGTCTGTAATGGTGTCCATTAGTTCATTAATTCCAACGCTCCTGAAAGGCCTAAGCCAAGGTTTTTGGTAAATGTATAGTATTCATAACTGTTATTTATTCTCCTTTCCTTTTAAAAAGGAAGCTATTTTGGACATTCATGAAAATGTAGATACAGTTCAGCGAATACATCAGTCCTTCGATTGGCTCCATTTTTTGCCAGTTACACAAGTGATCAATTTTCTAGAGGGTGTGGTGGCTGCTCATTAATCGCCAACTTGTTGAAATGATTATCTGCTGACAGATTCTGCTGGTTGTTCTACAAACTTAGTCTCACTTTCATTTACCATTCTGTGCTCCTAGTGTTTTTCCAACTCGTGTTTTCTATTTAACTCCTAATACTGCCTGGTCCTCAGAGTCCACTGTGCCGCCCGCGGATCTTTCTCGCTGATTCAGCATCTCTGGCCCCTGGAAGCTGCCTCACACCTATTTCTCTATTCCCCCCTCCCCTCCTTTGCCACAGCACTTAGAAACTGACCTTTTAACAATTCCTTCCCATCTTGGAGGTCTGAATTAAATTCCTAGAAATTGCACTGGGAACATGCACTTGTGTGTCGCTATTTAGGTTAGCAATGACACTTTGCCCACATCTTTTTTTATGTCCTACAGCCTGGTCACATGGTCACGATTAGGTCTCTGGTGCAGGGGGTGGGGAGGGGTGGGGAGGGCGACGATTGTTCTTCAGTGCCTCTATTCTGCAGATTGTAAGGGATCTGACCCAACTGTAAGGGACCCGACTCCCACATTCCAGCTTATGGATACATGGAGATTGATTGCAAATAATGCTTGATCTAAGCTCCCAGAGATTCCCAAGCAAGGAGGGGTTCTAGGCTACACCCTTTTCTGATGAGACAGGGTAATATACAGCTTTACTACTCTAGATAAGGCTGCTTTTTATAGGATACACCACTCGGTCCTATCAAACCACTTTCCAAACTAAACTGCATAATTTTACATGGGACAATGTAAGGATTCTGACCTTATTTCATGATGCCCCGGACTCGTACTGTACTCCTATTGTATTCTAAGTATCTGTGCAAAATGATGTCTAAACTGCAGCCTTCTGTGAAGGGAGAGAAGCAGTCTGCCTTATTGGAAAGTTTTCTGAGCACTATATCGATGTGAGTAGAGGCACCCTGTGTGGTTTTGGCTTGTACATTTTGGATTATATGCCCGCAAAATGCATTTATGATGACGATAACAAGAGACAATTTGCAAATCGCAGATATTTTAAGGACAAATCGTATCGATTAGAATAATGTTGCCACTCCACACTCATTCTCGGAAATATGTGCTTTTGAATGACATTGCAGTCACTGTGCAGTGGCAAAAATAAGCAAATCCAACTTCTGCTATTTGGCTAAAATGTCTTCATTTTGATGTGCACTCTTTTCCCTTGAAAAATTTTATATGCACTTCCCTTATTTTAGAAAGCAAGCAATACAATCTTTGAATCTCTCATGGGACTCACATCAACCAGGATATTTTGAAATTAACATGAGAAGGACTAAACTCTTTCATTTTTCAACATTGTGAGCTCTGTAAGAGCTCATATGCGCATTGTGAAGTGACTTTTTAAAACTACGATTGAGAACTCCAGACTCCAAATAAAAAAGAATGTGTTCCATAAATCATTCATACATGATGTACTTTGTTTTACTGCCAAATACTGATAACCATTTTGAAAGGGCAAATTCCAAGTTTAAAAGGCTCTTTTGGCGAATGCTTATAATAATCTAATAAATGTTGGGATGACATTGCTCATTTAAAAAATTCCCATTTGTTATTATTTCCACATATTTTTATCATCCTCTGGTCCCAGGTTGTGTTCTAGTGTAGTATCTTTATCAACTGAAATAATATCAAATGTAATCGCTTGCAGATTAAACCTGCTAATTTATCACCACATGGCTCTAAGGAGTTTTAAGAGTACTGAAGACACTGCCTTTCATGAAAATTTGTGTCCTAGCTATCTGTGCCGGATGACATGCTCAGAATTTAGTCTGCTTGGTGCCTAAGTGCTCATACTTATAATGGACTTTATCAGATATTATCTATTTATGACAGTTGCGACCCCAGATCCTATTTTTTTTAAAAAAAGATAACATAGTACAGCTAAAGAAAGCCTCAACAGTGCATTTTTAGTGTAATTCCTGTGCAGTCTGAATTAGTCACCTTTTGGCATATGACAGGAAGGTTAGACTGTCTTGATGAAGTCTGGAGTGTTCCTAGACGTTACCTTTGTAAAACATTTTGTGAATATTCACTGCCTCTCAGTTTATTAGAAGTCTGGCTCTGAGCAAACAAGAGCAACAAAAATAAAAACAGGACCTCAAATCAAATCCTGCTGGCTTGACACCGAGTGTTTAAGGGACCATTAAGTAACATCCTAGCTCTCCAGCCCCAAATTGCTTAATATACTTCATGGTCAGACCAATTGATTCCAGTTTTTAAATATTATTTGTCTTTTTTAGGGGGACGGTTTAAATCTGTGCATTGCCACTGGCAAGGGGCCGAGAACATGGATAGAGAGGTAAGATTGATGTAACTGGAGTCCCCTCTTTGATTTTTTCCTTTAAAAGTGGCCTTTTAAGCTTTATTCCTCGTAATATCATCCATGGACGAAAAGTATAGAAATGAGTAGAAATTTAGCCTCTGTGGTAGCACTCACGAGTAAAGAGGATGATTAACGAGTGTAGCAGACAATGTAATAGCAAAAGAGAGTCTACGGAAGTCAAACAGAAGTGCCTTCAGAATTTCCAAGGATTCCCATGATCCATAATAGGGCCTCACTGAGCCTGTCCACTGTTTCTATTTTTGATTAGATTTATAAACACAGCACCACATATTTTCATGTGGCTTATCGCCCAGGGGCAGAATTAGGTTGACTGCCCTGAAAATGTGAGGCTTGTGAGTTTGGGGCAAGGGCTCGAGCGAAATAAGTAGTGTAATTGTTTTTTGTGGAGAGACCGTGGGACCTCCTCTGTTCTGAATTACACATGGCTCAACCCTGTGACCTGACCAGACTCAGCCATGGCTGACAGAACTCCTAAAGTCACATGAGAGGGTCCATCCCTGACAAGCCGGGGCGTTATCTGTCAGGCGAGATGTGGGCCACCAGCCACAGCAAACTATAGGAATTATGAGTGAGACCGTATTTGTGACCACCTCGACTTCATTAGGCTCGTCGCCGTTATCAGTTATCACTGCAACAGAAGGTGCCAATGTGAGGGGTTTCTGGAATCCAAATGTCACACCAATCCTTTGATTAATAGCATGCATATATATATATATATATATATTCTGTTTCTATATATATTCAGTATATTCTAAATATATATGTGTGTATATATATTGTTTATATTCAGTATATTACATCCTATTTTCATACATATTCAGTATATATTCTGCATATGTGTATATATGTATATGTATACATACATATATATTTAATATATACATATATTTTTAACTAAATTTTGGATAATCTTCAAAGCTTTTTGGGAAGTTGTCTGAACATTATTATGATGATTTTTAAAAATTCCATAAGGTTTGGGAACATGTCATAAGCCTCACTTCAAGTTCTTTCATTTAATTTAAGTTCTTTCAAAATAGATGGTAGCCCACTGATAGAATTCCTCAGAGCTAAGGGGGATGCAGAGGACTTCCAGAAAAGGTTGGAGAGAACCATGGGCTGATACTTTTGCATTTGTGGAGAATGTGCTCTGTGCTTTGCATGATGCTATCACATATACATCTATCTGGATATGATTTTGAACTCACTCGAATTTTTATTTTCCATCCAGTCCATTAAAATTTCAAAGGTAATATAAGCAGAGAACATCAGTTCACTTGCAGACACTCAATATTATTTCCTAAAACAGTCTTGTACATCCCAAAATTATTTATCAGCTTTTTTTTTTTCATGGCCAAGTTTACAAATCAAGGGTCTCTCCAGGTATTTTCTGCTTCCAACAATTTGGAAATAACCTAGCATTTAAATGTTTTCTCTCTCATCTGAGGCAACTCAGACTGAATGCTGATTTAATTCTTAGTTACATGACATTTAAATTTTTCTTTAAGGAATACACAACTTCATGACATTTTTTTTTGAATTGTATTTTTTTTACTCTAGGAATGCTAAAACATGAGAATGGGTGGTCCCTATCAGATTATTTAGAACAGGGGGTGGGGGAATGCCCACCAAACTATCCTCATAAGCCCCCCAGCAAAACTGCATTCAGCCGTACCCAGTCTTGTTCTCATTAGCAAGGAAGAGTTTGCTCTCCATATAATCCAACACGGAATGTTTAGAGCAGACAGGTGCAAATTGCAAGCTGTTTCACTTTGGCTGTTATCCCTTAAATAGACAAAGTAATAGACGGGGAGAACAAAAAAGGTTCCCAGCTCAAGCTGCATAAATGAAAGTCTTAACAGGGACGGACCAGCTGGCTAGGAGAACTCAATGCAGTGAATACTTAATGTTACCTTCATGTCACTCGCCCAGGAAAATGGCTTCAGTAACACTCCCTGCCTTGTATTATTGAGATGCTGGTCCTTCAAAAACAGTCTTTGCCTTTATTGTTAAAGGCAACAGTGCAGCCGAGGTGGAGGAGAACAGAAGTCAACCTACCTGTTCCCGTTTACCATCGTTACACTCCTCCGGGCAATTCAGGCATGATTAGGTTCCTGGAGGTGGCCCAGATTGACAGTATTTCTATCTGTGTCTGGTTTTTTTTTTTTTTTTTTTGGTTCTGTTTTGTTTTGTTTTTTGGGGGACCCAAGCAAAGCCCCATAGCAGCGAAACAACTCAAACAATCTCCACCACTTCCTCCTCCCCAGCAAGATGAATCCGCTGAGCTAGTCGGCTGGAAAACACAACACAACACAACACAACACAACACAACACAACACAACACAACAACGAAAAAACACGGTTGTTCCTATCAGGAACACCTGAATTTTTCATGGGAGAGATGCGGGCTGCCAGAGTGTGTAGGAATCTAAGGTATGTTTCTGAAAGGAGGCCCTGACTCTGTCATTCCTAAGTGGCCTCGCTTTGTGACTTGCCGGGTTGTGGTCTGGATCCGCCGTCCGGAAGACTGAGCCGTTGGGTGTGCGCAGAGGCCCCTGGCGAGGTCTGACTGTGAGGTGTACCCGCACATGTGAGGGGAGGCGGACCCCCCCCCCCCCCAAAGCCGGCCTTGTTTACAGCTGGACAGAGGAAAACAGCTAGACACAAATGAGGGCTGACGGTTTCATCAAGCACGATCCGTGATCCCAGATGCAAACTGACTGCCCTGAACCGAGCGATGATCTGTGCAGTATGCAGAATTCACTTTCTGGCTGGTCTGTGCCCACCAGGCTGGCAGCGGCGCCGGCCGCGCCCCTCGGCCATGGCTTTGACTGCAAGCCGAGCTGAACGCTGCGCTGGGGGACCCCATTCCTTCCGACAACAATCACATTCCTTTAAAAACTTCCTACGTTTTGTTCGTCACTGGTTATAAATGAGTTGTTGTTCGTGTTCTCGACTCGATCGCCGTGTTTTTTTTTTTTCTTTCTTCTTTTTCAAGTTGACCGTGTTGTATCAAAAGGTATTTGTTGTTTTTTTGACGGAGAGGAAGATACCGTCCAAATTACTGTCAGGTCTTACCAATTCCAGGCAAGCTTTTTTTTTTTTTTTTTTCCCTTTCTTTTCCCCTCTGTTCAAATCACAAGGTATTACTTGCTTCCTTCCACACTACGGATTCCATATTTAGTGGGATAATCTTAGCGAAAAAAGATTTGAAAGACCGGATTCACCACTAGTCAAGCACACATGTAAAATAAATGTGTTCCCAGAAACTGCTCGCTTTGATTTGATGTAGAGTTAGGTTATATCAATTAAATAGCAATGTAAAGGCCCGGGGGTGGGGGTGGGGGGGAAGCCATCAGGCCTGTGGTCAAGATTTCTAAGCATTCTGCTTTTCTTCAGGACTAAGGTATCAGTGAGGAGCAGGAAGATACTGATGATCAACTTTTGTTTCTCAATTTCATTTTTGAAATGCCATACACATATTTAATATGTTGATATGAGCTTATTAAAAACAATAAAAGTTTCATAAATAAGCTAACTTAACAAGTGGCAAAGAAAGAAGACATTAATGTGAAATATAAGCAAAGGATTTGTTTGCAGGAGCTGAGGAGAGAAAATCTCATCAGGAAGCAGAGCACCTGAATGGAGAAGGGGTAGATGAAGGTGTAGTTTACCCCGCCCCCCTCCCCTTAAAGGTGCCCATGTGTGGAGGAGAGGAAAGGGAAAGAAATTGGCCAAGGAGAGAAGTGGGAACTCACCACCAGTTTCTTCTTGAACATATGTTAGTAGTAAAGAGGTCACAAAATATAGTCCCTCACTTGCTAATCCCCTCCAAGAATTTATCTCTGGTGTGTACTATCAGACTTGGCCTTCCTTTTAAATATGTGAACTCATGAAAAAATATCTTGAAGACCTTTTTAAACATTCGAGGGAAGGCA